CAAAGACCATGACATTAGCACATGCTGCCATTGCCTGTTCATGTGTTCATCCTTCCACAACATATAAATGCACAAGGTAGAATTTCTCACTTTGGAAGCTCTGGTGGCGTAGTGCTTAAGACATTTGACTGCTAACCAGAGACTGGCGGTTCAAACCCACCAGCCATTCCTCAGAAGGAAGATTGGGCAATCTACTTCCGTAGAGATACTACCTCAGAAACCCAAGGAGGGGTCACTATAAGTCGCAATCGACTCCACAGCAGTGAGTTTGGTTTTGGTATCATGTTGTTGTTGTTGTTATGTGCCATCGAGTCAGACCAACTCATAGCAACCCCTCCTTGGATTTCTGAGGTGGTATCACTATGGAAGTAGATTGGCCAACCTTCCTTCCGAGGAGTGCCTGGTGGGTTTGAACCACCAGCCTTCTGGTTAACAGTCAAGTGCCTTACGCACTACTCTACAGTCCCAAAAAAAATCTTCAACTGATTCAGGCATTTTGTTTTTTTCAATGTCCTATGTGGTAGGTTTATATCTACATCTTATATTTGATAGAAATGAAACTCAGAAGAATAAACAGAAACAGGGAATGAGTTTTAGAGCTTGGAGGCATGTTGTCTAACATTTTTCAATCTTCAGACATCCTGAGTTCCATTTTATCTACTACTCTTACTACTAACAATGGTAAGAACTACTATTACAACTTTTTGAAGGCCTACTCTGTTCTAATGCACTGAATATACTTCCATCTGATTGATTATTTACAATAACTACATAAAGTATGCCCTTAGTTTACAGACTAGAAAACTGAAGGTCAGCGAGGATAAGAGGGTAAGTTGCTCTTACCATCAGTAAGAGCAAATAAAGGATACCTATCTAATCTAAAGACCTCAAAGCCAACACACCTAATGACTGATGATGTTGATAATGATGTTGATGATGGTGATAATAACAATCCTTTTATTTGTTAAATGTTACTGAGTTAATAAATCTCTTTTATTCACATTAACTTATTTGATGGGTCTTCAAAAACAAAAAAAGAAAAAGTAAATATGCTCATCAAACCAAGAATGCCTAAGTCTCAGCTATGATCAATCTGTGTAAATTGTTACCCCATTCGCCTCCAAAATACACACACACACACACACACACACAACTCTGCTTATCACATGCAAGTAAGATATTACTGAAGATAATTCAGAAACGTTTGCAGCAGTATATTGACAGAGAACTTCCAGAGGTTCAAG